TTTTTTTTTTTTTTTTTTTTTTGCGAAGTTCAATCTACAAGTGTCAATGCATTTAACCCTTGTGTTAGATCTAAGGGTCAAATTTGAGAGGGCAAGAGCAAAAAGAAAGGAGAAATGTATATTTTTAGCCGCTCTAAAAAAATAGTCTGATATATATAAATATTACGTGTGTGTATTTATATACATATATACATATTTTATACACTTTTGTCTAATGCATGCAAATAGTTTAGGCCGACCGATCAATTTTGTATTTTGCCCAAAAGATTTAGAGTGTTTGCCACATTTCTAAGTCTTTTTAAGTTGTAGATCAAGATGAAGTTTTGTCCGAGGGATTATGCTTTTTCACTATTTTGAGAGAAGCACATTCCAGCAATCTGTCACTTAGCATTTACTATTGTTTTTGCTGGGCTTTTGAACACCTGCCCATGGAGTATAAGTATCTGGGAAGACAGCACTGTATTAAGATATTTTTAAGGAAATCAGTAACGAGCATTACACATTTTGGAAGGGTATTTCAGGTATTAAAAGGTTTATCACCTTAACCATAGAGTTAAAGAATTTGGGTTTAGACATCCTATGCCTTCAAACATTTACATAAAATCACTTGAGGGCTTAAACTAAACTTCGCAGAGGGTCATCAGCAACATCAACAGATAGTCATATTCAATCCAAAACAGTACTAAACACATACATAGCTACAGAAGTTAGCTTTACATGTCATTGGTCTATGTCCAAAATGAGCCAATCATGGCAAGTAACCTAAATCTAAACAGAACTTTGTGAGATGGGTCCAAGGTAATCACCTTCCAAGCTCACAACTGCTTGGAATTCCTTCTCCGCCTCCACATACCTTGCCCCAACCACGATGAAACGCACCACAGTGTCTCTCTCAATTCTTGACATCTTCTCATTCATAAAGATGGGATTTTCTCCAGGCACATACTTATAATCCGACATCTTCTGATGAGAGAGGTATATCTTGTCGGTGGGGCCACATCTTAAAAAGACACCGTGCTTCAAGATCTTGTGGACAACCCCTTCCAAGATTTCTCCACGGAATATGTTGAAGGTAATGCAACTGAAGTCCACAGGGAAGAGCACATCTCCAGTGTGTTGTCGAACTTTCCCTTCCCCAATCTTCTCCATTGTAGTGACAGCTATAAAGTAACCGAGATTCTTTGTAGCCTTCTTGGAAGCAAAGTCTTCCAAGAGGCGAACAACAATTGCCTTCTGAAGCATTAAACCTTCAATATCAAGGTTCTCAGCAGGGATTATCACGTTCCATGACAACCGAGATTTCAAATACATTTTTAAATGACCTGTTCACAAATGAAAACACATTGGGTAACAAAACAAGGGAAATATTGGGCCTTAAAAAGATACCCCGCAGATGCAGCAATGCTAGTATGAAAGTTCAAGAGAATGTCTGGAAATACATATACCACAACCATAAGAAATGCAATGCACATTTACTGAACTTTATCCATCAGGAGCAGATTTGTAAGAGGTACTGGATAGGGAACCGTAAGAGACAAAGTGGCACATTAA